GGAGGAGCTGTTGAGGCACCAGTTGCTGGAAAAGCGGTCAATGGGCATGCAGCGCCCCCTGGGCATGGCAGGCAGTGGCATGGGACAGAGCATGGAAATGGAACGGATGATACAGGCACATCGACAGATGGATCCCACCATGTTTCCGGGGCAGATGGCTGGCGGAGATGGCCTGGCTGGCACTCCTATGGGCATAGAGTTCAGTGGAGGCCGGGGCCTCCTCAGCCCCCCAATGGGACAGTCTGGGCTGAGGGAGGTAGACCCACCTATGGGTCCAGGCAACCTCAACATGAACATGAATGTGAACATGAATATGAACATGAACTTGAATGTGCAGATGACACCACAGCAGCAGATGTTAATGTCACAGAAGATGCGGGGCCCTGGAGACATGATGGGGCCTCAGGGCCTTAGTCCTGAAGAGATGGCTCGGGTTCGGGCCCAGAACAGCAGTGGCATGATGGGTGGCCCACAGAAGATGCTTATGCCTTCACAGTTTCCCAACCAGGGCCAGCAGGGATTCTCTGGGGGTCAGGGACCCTACCAAGCTATGCCCCAGGACATGGGCAACACTCAAGACATGTTCAGCCCTGATCAGAGTTCAATGCCCATGGGCACTGTGGGCACCACCCGGCTCAGCCATATGCCTCTGCCCCCTGCATCCAATCCTCCTCCTGGGGCTGTGCATCCAGCCCCCAACAGGGGACTAGGCAGAAGGCCTTCAGACCTCACCATCAGTATTAATCAGATGGGCTCACCAGGTATGGGGCATTTGAAGTCACCCACCCTTAGCCAGGTGCATTCACCCCTGGTCACCTCACCCTCTGCCAACCTCAAGTCACCCCAGACTCCCTCACAGATGGTGCCCTTGCCTTCTGCCAACCCGCCAGGACCTCTCAAGTCACCCCAGGTCCTCAGCTCTTCCCTCAGTGTGCGTTCACCCACTGGCTCACCCAGCAGGCTCAAGTCTCCCTCCATGGCGGTGCCTTCTCCAGGCTGGGTTGCCTCTCCCAAGACAGCCATGCCTAGCCCTGGGGTCTCCCAGAATAAGCAGCCGCCTCTCAACATAAACTCTTCCTCTACCCTGGGCAACATGGAACAGGGTAAGTCGCCTGGGTGCACTTGGGTTGGAGCCTTTGTGGTGGATGGGTTCCTGTAGGGGCTTTGGTGGCAGCTGTGCTGGGGTCCCTTACAGAGCTCCAGGTATGTCTAGGCATCTTGAAGGGTCCCATTTGGGACTTGGGATCTCCCCACTGCAGGAATTGCTTAAAGGAGTGTGGCCCATTGTGATCACAGGCAGCCCTTGTTCACTGGGGTATGGGTGTGCCTGTAGTGAGGTAGAGGTCTGGAGGAAATTGACTTATCCTTAGACCCTCTGAATATGAGTAGCCAAATTCAGTCTGCCCTCCCTGGTGACCCCTGCTCTGTCTCTCCACTTCTGTAGGTACCCTGCCTCCTAGCGGCCCCCGTAACAGCTCCTCAGCACCGCCTGCCAACCCTCCCAGTGGCCTCATGAATCCCAGCCTACCATTCACATCCTCCCCAGACCCCACGCCTTCCCAGAACCCTCTGTCACTGATGATGTCTCAGATGTCCAAGTATGCCATGCCCAGCTCTACCCCGCTATACCACAATGCCATCAAGACCATCGCCACCTCAGATGACGAGCTGCTGCCTGACCGGCCCCTGCTACCCCCACCCCCACCACCGCAGGGCTCCGGGCCAGGTATGAGTCGAGTCGGCAAACTTCTCCCAGAGTGGTAACAGTGGGTTTGTCTCCGAGTTGCCCCTATGGACATTCTCATGCTGGCTTTTGCAAACTTCCACAGTCCCTGGTCATGGGGGTGTGTTGTGAATTCTGGGGCTCTGTTCCAGTCGTTATCTAGACTAGAGCACTTTCATGGGGGTGGGGAAGGATGGGGGAGGCATCTCCCCAAGTTGGGTGGGCACAGCCTCTAATGGTCCCTTCTTCCGCACAGGCATCAGCAATAACCAGCCCAACCAGATGCACCTGAACTCTGCTGCTGCCCAGAGCCCCATGGGCATGAACTTGCCAGGCCAGCAGCCCCTGTCCCACGAGCCCCCACCTACTATGTTGCCCTCCCCCACCCCTCTGGGGTCCAACATTCCACTGCACCCCAATGCACAGGGGACAGGGGGCCCTTCTCAAAACTCAATGATGATGGCCCCAGGAGGCCCAGACTCCCTAAGTACCCCGTGTGGCCCCGTGCCCAGCTCCTCCCAGATGATGCCCTTTCCTCCTCGGCTGCAGCAGCCCCATGGTGCCATGGCCCCCACTGGGGGTGGGGGTGGGGGGCCTGGCCTGCAACAGCACTACCCTTCAGGCATGCCCCTGCCCCCAGAGGACCTGCCCAACCAGCCACCTGGTCCCATACCCCCGCAGCAGCACCTGATGGGCAAAGGCATGCCTGGTCGCATGGGCGACACGTACCCACCTGCCGTGCTCCCCGGGGTGGCCTCAGTACTGAACGACCCAGAGCTGAGTGAGGTGATCCGGCCCACCCCTACTGGCATTCCTGAGTTCGACTTATCCAGGATCATCCCCTCTGAGAAGCCAAGCAGCACCCTCCAGTACTTCCCCAAGAGTGAGAACCAGCCCCCCAAGGCCCAGCCCCCCAACCTGCATCTCATGAACCTGCAGAACATGATGGCGGAGCAGACCCCCTCTCGGCCCCCCAACCTCCCAGGCCAACAGGGGGTCCAGCGGGGGCTCAGCATGTCCATGTGCCACCCTGGACAGATGTCCTTGCTGGGCAGGACAGGTGTGCCCCCACAGCAGGGCATGGTGCCCCATGGTCTGCACCAGGGGGTCATGTCCCCTCCACAAGGCCTCATGACCCAGCAGAATTTTATGCTGATGAAGCAACGGGGTGTGGGGGGTGAGGTCTATACCCAGCCTCCCCACATGCTCTCCCCACAGGGCTCCCTCATGGGCCCCCCACCCCAGCAGAACCTCATGGTGTCCCACCCTCTGCGGCAGCGCAGTGTGTCTCTGGACAGCCAGATGGGCTACCTCCCAGCGCCGGGCAGCATGGCCAACTTACCCTTCTAGCAGGCCCCTCAGGGGTCTGGAGCTGGGGACACTGAGACTATGTTAACTCTAAGAAGTTTTTTTTTTCCTCCAGTGTTGGGATGGATGGCCTGGGTGCAGGGGTGGGGTGGAGGGGTGGGAAGGGGCTTATGTGGGGAGTGGCATTTGTGGAAACTGGTGTGCTGGCAGCTTAGGGGAAAGCAGCAAGGGTCTGGGAGGGGAGTTGGAAGTGGGTTTTGCTCCACTTGAGCCACCAGGACTGCCCCTCCTCTGCCCTCCCCTTCCTGTTCCTGTGGGGGCTTCTCTTCCGGTCTTTATACTTTTGCCCTACCTTCAGCTTTGTGTTGGGGCCCTTAGAGAGGAAGGAGAGGAGGGGGTCTCCCATCCTCTGTCCCTTGTGGAACTGTCACCTCATTGGTGCTCCAGGTCCACTTGTCCCCTCCTACTTTCTCGTTTTTACCCCGTTTTCCCCTTGGTCTTCCTCATTTCCTCTTCCTGCTGTCATGGCTGACCTCCTCTCCCGCGCCCCCTGCAGGCAGCTGGCCAGGTGGGCGGGTGCCAGCAGAGCTGTAAATAGAGCTGGGCTTTTGTGCCGGTTTGTGCGTGTGCCGTATTTCTGTGTTTTGATAGAAGTCACACACCAAAAAAAAAAAAAAAAAAAAGTTTAAAAAAAAAAACCCCTCCTCCTCCTTCCAGTGTTCACCCCCACAGTTATCCTGGGCCCAGAGACCTACAGCCCTATGTACCCTCCATATGCCCCCCCCCCATCAATTGAGGTCAGACCATCTAGGCTTCCATTTGGTGAGCCCTGGAGGACTGAGACCTCCCCCTCCCCCTCCTATGGCCGCCTGTCTGCTGCTGAGTGATTTCTGGAGAGCAGGTGTGCACATGAACGTGTGTCTACCCACACCAGTGACATAGCCGCCACCAATACCCCCTCCGTGCCTCTGCTGCTACATCCAATCCAGAACTTGAAGCCCTTTGTCCCCAGTCTATGATAAAGAAGGAAGGGGCAGGTGTGGCCCCTTTGAATGGAGCTGTGGAGGGTTAGCATGATGTGACTACAGCCCTATGGCTTTAGTGGCTTTGGGCCAGGTAACCCCTCAGGGCACAGGCCCTTCTAGAAAGCACCACTCGCTTCTCACCAAAGAAGGAAGGGACAACGTTTGGTTGAGTCTGTCAGTCTCTCCTCCAGCTTCCAACCCTAGTGTGGAGTGAGGAAAGGCAGTGTGGGGAGGACATCCTGCTGCCTGTCCACTCTCCGGCAAGGTCCTTCTGTCCAGGGCTCAGGGCCATGTACCAGATCTGTCTATGCCCACCCAGGCATAGTCACTGCCTCCCTGTTACTTCCCAGGAGAGTCCCTCACCCACCACTGGTCAGACTGAAGCCATACAGGAATGGGTGTTTCGTCTCCCTTGGCCCCAGGAGTGAAATACTTCTCATTTTCTTACTTCCTTGTTCCTGCCTTGTAAGGTGGCAGGCAGCCCCTTAGGCAAGGCCTGTCTGCCCTGCCTCCAGGGCCAAGGGCCATTCTAGACAGGGTGTCTTTTACCAGGGCCCTGTCCCCAGCCTCTCTGACCTGCAGGGCCTGGTTTTGCCTTGGCAGCTGTAATACAAAGGGAATCTGTGCCCACTTCTCCCAGTCTGGTGCTGTCCATTGTCAGCCAGGTCAGGCACCGCTCCCCTCCAGAGCTGGCTGCAGGCCCCTGGCTTCCCCTGCCCTCCCAGGGGCCAGAGCCAAGGTCTCTGCGTTAGAGGGGTGGAAACCTGTCCTTCCTGCCAGACACTCTGCCCTCCCTGCTTCCATCTGGGCCTTGTGCCCCACCCCCCGTGTGCCCATCCTGCCCAGACTGTCAACTGTCCTGCTCCAAGGGGAGGGCTCAGGCCACAAAGGGCCTGATGCCCCCTCTGGTTTCCTTGTCTCCCACCTCTACCACTAGCTTCCCACGGTGATCCCCACAGGCCAGCCTTCTCCTCTCCATCCATGGCCATACCCCAGCCATTTTGTACCATTATATAAATATATATATAAATATAAATATATAAATACAATATGTGAAGACATCTTGGTTTTTATTTTGAAACACTTTTTAGGCTTGCTCTGGGGGGGTCTGTGCTGCCTGTGTACTGTATTGACCTGTTTTATAGGTGCCTTTTTATTAAAAAGAGAAAATTCAAAAATGTAATCTCTTGCTTTTTTTGTCTGTGTGTCGGGTTTCTCTGGTACCCAGCTGGCTGTTGGATGCTGGGAACAGAAAAGGGGATCCCAAGATGTCTCCATGTTGCAGTGAGGGCGCAGTCTCTGATGTAGAACTGATCTCCCTGGTGTGGTCCCCCAGGGAGCTTGTCTGATCGGTGTGAGTGGTATCAGGCACCCCAGTTCCCCCCAATCCCCAGCTCAGTGGCTGGGAGGAGGAGCTCCCCTAAGCTGGTGTGGAGCAGTTTCCTCTGGTTCCATCTGAGCAGTGCCCTCCCAGGGGCACAGCTCTGCCTCCTTGGGGATAGGGGATTTCCCTGCCCAGGTTGGCTTCTCACATTGTCCTTGCCTAATGAAGACAGGGATCTCTGTCTTCATTTTCTTAGCTAAGTACCTCTTCTTCTGAATCTAGGACCCCTTTGCTATTTTATTTTCTACAGGCCCTGAGGATTTCAGGAGAGGCAAATTGGCCTTTTCCCCCATCAGTGCCCAGAATCCACGAGGGCCCTGGATCTTATCTCCCTGACAGGCTGGGCAGAGAATACTGCTGGGTTTGATTTTTTTTAAATTTATTTTTATTTTATGTGCATTGGTGTTTTGTCTGCATATACCTCTGTATGATGCTCTCAGATTCCCTGGAACTGAAATTACAGACAGCTGCCAGTGGGTGCTGAGAATCGAACATTGAGCCTCTGGGAGAGCAGCCAGTGCTCTTCACCACTGAGCATAGTCCCCACTGAGTTTGATTCTACTTGCCCCTCTTTGGGGCCTGGAGAGAAGGTGTCCTTCCATTTCTCCACTGGGTTGTTTCCCTGCTGGCTTGCCCTCTCTTCTTAGGACCCTGGCCAGCCTCCAGAGCATTCTGGAGCCTAACCTTGGTCTGTAGTCCAAGATCCAGTAACATGAGGCTGACCCAATGCTGGTTGGTTGGAGTTAGACAGATACCCAAAGAAAATTAGTCCAGCTTTCTGCTTGATTAAGAGAATGGCAGAGTTGAAGGTCTGGCACAAAGTTTGTGTTTAGGAGACAGGCATATTAAGGTCAGACTCTGCCACCAGCTGGCTATTCAGTAGATAGGAGTGGTGGGGAGCTGTGATGGCCAGGAGCCTTTATGATGACAGAGTGCATTCTGGGAGGAGATTCAGAGGTCCATAACCAGAGGAAGATGAGACTGTAAGCTCCCAGCAAAGTGGCGTTCCCTGTGGCCAGGGGAGAAGTAAAGCTGATTCTTAGCTTTGGCTTTGGGAGTCCTCTTAGCCTAAGGTGATGTGGACAGTCTAGAGATCCTTTGTTTTGCCTTTGGGCTGCTTTCTCTTCCCAGGGCTCTAGTTTAGCCTGAGGGCTGGCAGAAGAGCTTAGGGACATTCTAGAAAGAGTTCATCTAGCTGTCCCTTCTGAGGATACCAGCCCAAATAAGCTCTTAGAAGCCCAGTTTTTGTTGAAAGGGCTTCTAGCATCACTCCAGGCTCCCAAGGAAAACAGAAACAGAAAGAAGGTGTGGAGGTTCTGGGGTCTAGAAGGTGGTGAGGGAGGTGGCATTCTCTGACTCAGAGAGACTGCTCTTTCGCCAGCTGGGGAAAAGTTGGCAAAGGGAGGCTGGGCCAGCACAGCCCAACTTCGTCAGAAGTCGAGACAAGTCACTGCGGAACTTTACACCAGCGAAGGTGTAGAGCATGGGATTGAGACAGCAGTGGGCCAGACCCAGGAATTCACATACGGTGATGGCCACCGAGAGATAGCTCCTCAGTTCGCAGCTACTGTACACTGCCTTCAGCCTCTCCAGGGTGTCTAGGAAAATGACAACGTGGTAGGGTGACCAGCAAAGAAAGAAAATACTTGTCACTAAGATGGCCACCCTGACTGCCTTCTGCCTCTGAGGGCGCCGCTGAGCCTGGCATAGCCTGTGTACTACTCCCACGTAACACCAGGCCATCACCAGCATTGGTAGCAGGAAGCCCCCAATATGGTAGAGGAAACGAGAGGTGAACCAGGCTTTGGTTTCAGCTTCGTTCTCTTGGGAGAAGCTGCAGTGTGGCAGGGAGTCATTGTTAAGAGGTTGGCTGACCTTGGCAAAGAGGACTTCCGGCAAGGCAAACAGCAAGCCGGCTAGCCAAATGATTGCACAGGTGATGTGGATGGAGAGGAGGCGACGGCGGCGGTAGGCATGCACAGCGTGGACGATGGCCAGGTAACGGTCTACAGCTATGCAGGCCAACAGCAGGCTGCTGCAGTAGAAATTGAGCTTGTGCAGCCCCATCACAGTTTTGCAGAGGAAGGTCCCTAGGACCCAACCCACAGAGCCCTCAGCCACTGCAAAAGGCAGGATAAAAACAAGGAGAAGGTCGGCTACTGCCAGGTGGAAAAGGAAGGTCTCTGTTGAGCTTCGAGTATGCCGGTGCCGCTCCAGGATCACAAGCACCAGGATGTTTCCCAGCATCCCCAGAAGGAAGATGAAGCTGTAGGCCACAGGCATGAATACTGCCTTGAAGGAAGTCAGTAGGGGTCCCTCCACTGTTGAGCAGAAGTGACTTTCCTGTAGGGGCATCTCCGTGCTGTTGCTGTAGAAGGCAAATTCCTTGTACTGCAAGGACAAAGAGAGAGAAATAAGAAAGGCTAGCCCTATCTTCTCTCTGAGAGGAAACTACCTGTGGTGTTTCCTGTTCTTCTAGGCTTCCTGTCTGCACTATTCTATTTCCCCTTGGTGTGTTATGTCCTTGAATAAATCATGCCATCTTTTCCTTCCTTCCTTCCAATTTTTAATCTTAGACAGGATTTTCCTATACATCTCTGACTAGCCCGGAATTATCCATGCAGACCAGGTTGGCCTCGATTTGGATGGTCTGTCTGTCTCTGCTTATTGAGTGCTGGGAATAAAGGTGTGTGCCCATGCCCTCTTTCTGTCTTTATTTCATGGGCATTGGTGTTTTTCCTGCATGTGTCAAATTTTCTAGAACTGGAGTTACAGATAGTTGTGAGCTGCCATGTGGGTGCTAGGAATTGAACCCAGGTCCTCTGGAAGAGCAGCCAGTGCTCTTAACTGCTGAGACATCTCTCCAGCCCCCATGCCACATTTCTTAAATTTAATTTTTCTTATTTTAATTTTTGGCAGTGCTGGAGAGGGACTTATGCAAACTAAACTTAAGCATTCTGTCACTGAGCCACATCCCTGGCCTGAAACTTCAGGGTTTTTTTTGTTTGTTTGTTTTTGTTTTTTTGGTTTTTTTTTTTTTAATTCAAAAGGGATCTACTGATTTCTCACCAAAGGTAGGGATTGAGGTTGATATCTTGTGTTCTTAGCTGTATGCTTAGGGATTGCAGTCAGTATTGATATTTGGGGATTGGACTTGAGTGGAACAAGAAGCCAATATTCCAATTCTGAAAGGATAGTGTGATTGCTGATTCCCTCTTAATTCCACCCTCCCTTCCTGTCTTGATTATTGCTGAAATTGAGGAAATGGCTTCCCATCTGGTTTAATTCACACGAGCTTGAGGTATAAGCTCTCTCTCTCTCTCTCTCTCTCTCTCTCTCTCTCTCTAATATTTTTATAGTTGTGTCTTGCTCAAGAAGAGGTTTGCTTGAAGGCACACTTGCCTGTCTCCAGAGTCAATACTTCTGCCCCATCTGTGCTGCCTGAGCCTCCTTCCAAAGGCAGCCAGGAAGGGGGCAGAGACTGAGTTTCAGGTTACTTCCCAGCCAGAGAGCAAACTCACTGGGCACAGAAGCCAGCAGAGGCAAAAGTGAGTCACACAGGGAGACTGGGCACAGGGAAGGGAGGGAGCCTCTCTGTCCAGAGTGGAAAAGAAGGGGGAGTGCCCGTTACATGTCCGGAAGTTCCTACCTCCACATCCTCCTCCCCCTCTGTCTCTGCCCTCCATCAGCCCGGCTCTCAGGTTGTTTGCCTGCTAACCACAGAGGAAGACAGAGTGATTGTTTTCTTACCTTTCACTCACAGCTGCCCTGCACCTGCTCTTCCTCATCTCCCAGCTCCGTTCTTCCTGCCCTCCCCTGCCCTCCTCCCTGGGCAATACAAAACCAATTACACCCAACCAACAGTGGGTCCCAGGGAGGCAAAGGACAGTGGGTGTTCTGAGCCCCAGGCTCTGGGCAATCCATGCTGACCCTCTTTCAGGAGAGTGAGGGCCTCCTGCATGCAGTGGTTAGTTCACTGGTTACCTCAGATCTTTCTTGCCACCCAGGCACACGAGTTGTGGGTCACACTCACTTCCACTGATAGGCAAACCTCATCTTGTTCATTTGGTCCCTGGAGCAGGTAGCTCTTTAAGAAGGATGGGGACACATGGAACAATGGTGAAGCTACCTTCCACCCTCTCCAATGTCTCCTTCTTTTGCCATCACCTCAGCCTCACCCTTCATCTTATTGCTCTATGAATTTTTTTAATATTTTAGCCTTTAAAGTATTATTTTATGTGTATGAGTATTTTGCCTGCATGTATGTACATGTGCCACGTGGTACCTGGTGCCCAGAGAGGTCAGAAGAAGGGATTGGCTCCCCGAAATGAATACAGATGGTGTAAGTCACCATGTGGGTGCTGGGAACTAACTCCAGTCCTCTGCAAGAGCCACAAGGTCTCTTAACCATGGAGCCATCTTTGCAGCCCTACAGGTCCTTTTCTTACTAACTCTTCTCTTCTTGTCCACTTTCTTCCCAATGGACAGGGTGGGTTTCCTCATGCACAGATCCCAGTGCTATGCAGAACTCTGAGATGGGAGCATAGCTTAAGCCCAGGATTTGAGTTCCATTATCAAGATAGTCAGACTCTGTCTCAAAAACAAACAACAAAACTACACAGACCCCTAGCACTAGTGTCCTACTTAGAGTGCTTTAGTTACTCCTCATCACCTATAAGAAATAGTTGTCTTTTTGTCCTTGTCTTGCTTTTCTGACTTCATATTCAATAATAAAACCATTTGTAAAAAGCTACATTTGTGATCATGTCTGCCAGCAGAAAGATGGATCAGGTCAAGCTTCACACAGCAGAATGCAACATGTACTTGGAAGGAGATGGAGTTTATGGTGTGTCTGTCCACTTAGGGAAAGACATTTACCACACATGGCTCAGTTTCCAAACAAGAGGGCATCCAAACAGCACAAAGGTCCGGGGTGCTGTACACATCACAAGAGTGCCTGGGGTTAGGGCTCTCAGCTCCCCTCCTTGCCTTTGAACCAGAGCTCTTCACTTTTGACTTCATGGTTAAAACAAATAACAAAACCTTAGACATTGTCTAGGCACGATAGCATATGCACCGGGAGACAGGACAGAGGATTAGGAGATCAAGGATGCTTTCATATACATGGTGAGTTCTAGATCCACCTGTGGTGCTTGGGTTCCTATAACAAACAAACAAAAAGGGCTGTCCATTTCTCAATTGTCTACCACGTACTAAAACAGGACCTGTATGTGAGGAAAATGGTCCTATACTCATTCGAAAACAATGGTGCTGTGGGATGGGGTCTTAATGCCCCAGACAGAAGTCCTTTACATTCCTCTAAAGTGGGTTGAAGGTATATCTCAGAAAGTAGGATGCTTGTCTAGCATGTACTGAGTTTGAGCCTCAGCCCTACAAAAATAAAAATAGATAAAACTTTCCAAATTGTCTACTCCTTTGATGCATCAAACCTTACCTACTTCATTGTATCAGGTACTCTATGCCTAAGGTATGCACTCTACCAGCTGCCTGTCCCCAGCATCAGAGACAGCTTTCTGCTACCTTTGCCCTCTTCCTTGGTCCAGTCTGCCTCTCTAAACTCCTGGCCCAAGACAATCATCTTCCAACATTCTTATATTTTTGGTGAGCCTAGCCTTTAACAGCTGAGTCATCTCTCCTGCCCTCCATCAATTCCCTTCTACTGGGAATTCCAGGATGCCTGGGGCAGAGTGGGATTCACATCTCCTTTTCATCTTTCTATAAATTTGGCCTCTGGGGCCTAATGGGATTCTCCATCTCTATAGGGAATTGTTTCTTTTTTCTTTTTCTTTTTGTTGTGTTTTTGAGATAGGGTTTCTCTGTGTAGCTCTGACTATCCTGGAACTCATTCTGTAGACCAGGCTGGCCTTGAACTCATGAAGACCCACTACCTCTGCTTCCTGAGTGCCAGGATTAAAGGTGTGTGTCACCACTGCCCCGCTAGGGAATTGTTTCCAATAGAATAGCTGAATGCAGCCTTTTGCTTCTGACTCTGCAGTAGGAGGTAGAGGGGAAGCAGTGGGGTGAGCTGTCCTTGTGCTAAGCACAGGTGGTGGAGATGTGATAAAGACCTGGGACAGGGAGATACCTGGACGACACTCACTTTGGCAGCTGCTGAACCTGGCTCCTCCCTTGTCCTCTTCTGAGTCTAGATGGCCTGTCTGGCCAAGTGGTCCTCCAAGATGATGACTGCTCAAGTCTTTACTTTACAGAGCATCGAGGTTGATCAACTCATTGTCCATTCAAACTTCAATCAGTGGGACATCTCCACTGAGACAGGGTTAGAGGATGAGGGGCTATCTTTTCCTCCTTGCCAAGAGGTATTGTTTTGGCAAAGTCTTCAGAGGAGGAGGAAGCTAGTTTGGTATATATCAAAAGATGATTTTGAACTCAAGAGTGTTAAAGCCACTTCCTATACACAGGGGCTTGGACACTCCTCTTCCCCAAAACATGGAGAAAAAAAAAAAACATAAGGTAAGGTTGCCTCTGACCTGGTGGAAAGATGGGGATCCAGATATCCAGAGCATAGTGGGACTCATGCTGTCAAAGGGGAGCACAATGCCATGAGTGGCTCACTCATTCTTTGCTATGAAAAGCAGCAAAGACCCTAATAATGTGTATCCCCCTGTGATAACAACACAAACCCTATATAAACATAAACACATGTCCAGATGGGACCACACCAGCATGCTTCATAAGCAGGTACCTGACAGAGCACAAACAGTTTGCAAACTATAGGGATACATGCCTTATCAGAAAATACAATGCCTAGAATGAAGCCAGGCATGAGCTAGGAATGTAGTTAGGGAAGTTCTGGTAACTCTGGGGAGGAGGATGGGTAGCTGGTCCTGGTATTAGGGATGGGGTAGGGAGAAGAGATAAAGAGATGCAAAGTGTTTCTCCTATGTTGGGATCCACAGATGTTCCTCCTTCATCTACACAAGATTCGTGTCTGTCCGTTTGCCTTTTTTCTTTGCAGATCTAGGAATGAACCTAGGCTATTTCACAAGCTAGACAAGTGCTTTACCACGGAGAGCTACATCTCCTGTTGTTATCCCTCAATGTCTTTCCACTTGCTCTTTTGCTGTGTGTGTGTGTGACTGTGTGTGAGAGAGATTGTGTGTGTGTGCATGTGCATGTCTTTGTGAGGTCAGAGGTAGACATCAAATGTCTTCCTCCATTACTCTATATCTTGTCTTTGGATACAATGAAATCACTGAGCCTGGAGCTCACTGATTGGCTAGACTTGCTGACCAATAAGTGCCAGGGATCCTTTTTTTTTTTTTTTTTAAAGAACTTATTTATTTTTTGCCAGGCAGTGGTGGTGCATGCCTTTTATCCCAGCACTCAGTAGGCAGAGGCAGGGGGATCTC